CATAAGCTCGGCACCATCTAATTTTTTTGGACAACGAGGATTAAAAGATTGCAACGGATATATCATTTCTGTAGCAGTATTTTTTCACGCAAAAAAAAAAAAAGGGAAACTGCCACACTCTCGTAGATCAGTGGCGGTTTTTAAGGTAAACTGTAACAGACATAGAATGTCCGTGGCGGGTTGAAACACTATTTAATTTCACCTATAGACATTTTTAAGAGTTTTCATATATATATTCACCCACACCAGTGAAAATGCACATGTTCCATATATTTTTAGAAGCGTGAGGTATATATATATATATATATATATATACCAGTGAAAATATACATGCTCCATGTATTTTTAGAAGCGTGAGGCATATAAAGACATGTAATAGAAATGATGGGATGGATGATGAGAAGCTATAAGGAAAACATATAGAAAGAGACCATTTAATTTTAGGGTGTGGTTTGTATAGGGCCGAGGCCCTAATCAATCAAAGTAAGGCACACCTTCAAACAACATCAAAATTATCATTTTAGTATAAAAGATCTTTGTGACAGCCTAAAAATTTATTTTCATCTCTAACTATAAAATTTAAGATTAAAAAATTGTAGATCGAGCATATTTATGAACACTTGAAAATTTTGAAAATTGACGGTCTAGATAATACACTTCAAGATACACAATTTCCATGACTTGAAATCTAGTTTTTCTTATGTCCATATATATTGAGGTTGAGATGATCGAATCGAGGGTTTTTCAGCATTGAAGCAACCTCTTCTAGTAAAATTTTGAGGTGTGCCTTAATTTGACTGTTTAGGGCCTCACACTTTTATAAACTTTTGTCATACTTTTAAGAGTGTGGTTTGTATAAGGCCGAGGCTATAAACAATCAAAGTAAGGCGCACCTTCAACTAGTATCCAAAGATATTGTTTCAATACTGGAAATCCTTGTGATGGCCTGAAAATTTATATTCATCTCTAACTACAAAATTTTAAATTTTAAAAGTAGTGTTGTTGGAGCTGATCTATGAACATTTGAAAATCTTGAAAATTAACGGTCCGAAAATTGTATTACAAGATACACTGTTTAAGGTTTGAAATCATTTTTTCTCATGTTCATATATCTTGAGGTCGAGATGATTAATTTGAGGATTTTTGCGCTTCAAAATAACCTTTTTCAATAAATTTATGAGGTGTGCCCTAAATTGATTGTTTAGAGCCTCTGCCTTATATAAACTTTTCCCTACTTTTAATATAGAAGAAAAATTGTATATAATGTTGCAACCTTAAAATGTTGAATTATGGAGCACCTAAAAAATTCATCAAAAATGTTGTTTTGATGTTGAAAAATCTCTAATTGATCATTTCAACATCAATATATATATGTCAGCGGCTGACTGCTATCACTTGAAATTTAAAGTGGGTATTCTTCAAAAATAGGAGAATCTAATTAAATTATAAAAAAATAATTCACAAAATATAAATAGATCAAAATACTCTTGAATCATTTTGGAGACATTTTAGTTAATTTATATTTTATAATATTTTTTTTTTATATTTTATTAAGTGAACTTTGAGACAAATGATTACCTAAAATTTCAAATAATTTCAATTTATATAAATAAAAATAAATTTAATTAAACAATGAGGTTGTAACCATCCAATCAATCAACCGGTTATGGGGATCCATCACCCTCAATCAACTGGGTTATTGTGAACGTAGCTTTTCTACGACCATGGTGGTCTATATTATTATAATAAGTTATATATACACTCCCTTGTTGAAAGGTTGGGGACTCAGCTATAAAGGGAGGACTTCTCGCCTGTTCCAAGGGAGACTGGGTGTAGCTTTCGGAGACCGGGTGTAGCTTTCGGGCAGAGGAGAGAGAGAAAGAAGATATAGAGAGAGAGAAAGAAGTTAGAGAGAGTGAGAAAGTAGAGGGAGTGAGAAAGAAGAGAGAGAGAGAATGCAAGAAGAGGAAGAGGAGGAGGTGGCTCTCCCCAACGGGAATCGGGACCTCGCTGACTGTCGAAAGGCAATCTTCGAGGCTGCGAGGATTGGCAATGTCGATCAGCTTCGCGTTGCCCTTGGTACTTACTCTCTCTCTTTCTCTCTACACCATGACTGCTATCTTTCTCTCTCTCACTATACTTTCTCTTCTCTCTGTCCTCTAATCTATCTTCTCCCTGATACTTTCTCTTATCTTGCTTCTTTTTCTATCTTTGTCTCTGTACTCTACCTTCTCTCTACGTTCTCTGCTTCCTTCCTCTCTGTCTTTTGATTCCCTACTCTTTCTGTTTATGTCTCGTCATTTCCATTTGTTGCCACTTGCTGTTATAGCTGTGATGACTTTATGTAGTTTTCATTCCTTCAGCTTTGTTCTCTTTTTTTGTTTCTTGTTTTCTTTTGCATTTCACTTTTGTTATCTTTGTTTTGCTTTTTGTTTTCTTTTGCATGATGATATTTCAGTATAGTATGATCTAGATTTCGGGTAATATGATGGGGGAAGCTCGTGAAGTGTTTTGGTTTCCCCATGAATTCGTCCCTAAAAGATTTGGCAGCAATATTTATCTCTAGATGTTGAAGAACTGACAAACTATTAATTATCTTGTTCATTACATGTTATTAGAATCCCAATGAGAATTTCAATAGGTGTAAGAAATGGCCATTTCTTTTATTATTACTGGTGTAGTGAAGAGGTGATTTCGATTTTCACAATCTGTATCATGAGTTTCATCCTTCTCATATTGATTTATGCTGCACCATAGTAGAGATCATTGCACCCAATCTTGCTTCTTCTGCATTAAGTTCGGAATGTGCCTATTTCATGGAAGTTACATGATTGTCATGTATCATTGAATCTGTAATTTGTTCAAACTCTGGCTTTAGTACCATCTGTAATCTGAAAAATCAGTTTTGGTTCATGTAATGATGATAATTATGATCCACATCAATGTGATCCATGTAGGTCGCTCATCCATCAGGGTGTGCATAACAAAGAAGTACCCTTGTACTTAATTATTAACATGTTTTAGCATGGTTATCTTTTGATAGAGCTTGTAATGCTGAGATATGTTAGAGTTAACATGCAAATGCTGGAGTTAGTTCTTTCTCTCCTTCAATGTCTCATGGTGCTGAGGGCTTTAATGTTTGGCTCAACCATTCCTAGAACAAGAAGCCAACATGTAATTGCCCATGTCTCCAACTTAGGCAGATAACAATATTTATTAGTCTTGGTTTCATTGGTTGGGGCTATTCTTTCATCAAATAACAGCAGCACTTTTTTTGCAGCAATCGCATGTCTCATGATATGTGATCAAACCATGTAGTTTTTCCATTCAATCTATTAGTGATTATGTACCGAAGATTTCCTTTGGACAAGAGGAATAAAAACCTTTCTTTTCTGATCGTTACAAGTTTTACATATGCCACTCGTGTTGTGTGACTGGTTACCTTTAATAGTATACCAGAGACCTGAAATATGATTTTTTTTTTATATTTCTACCTTAGATCAGTCTTAGACAACCTTGAAAATCCTGATTTAAGTTTGGATATTCAGGTGCATGTTGTGATCCGGGATTTTTGAGCACTAACAAGGCAGTATGCCGATTCTGAAATTTCAAATGTGATCAGCTTAAGTGATCTTCAATTTTTTGTTTAGCATATCGTTAAATTCTCCAAGAAGCTTGTACTGTCTACCTAACGAGAACGGAAGAGTTTACCCTGTCAAGCCAACCACATTTTCCTACTGTATTTGTCCCATGCTATGCTTTCATAATATACTGAATTAAGATACATATTTTGGGCATAATTGGTTTTCACTGTTCTGCAAGGAACTAAAATCCTTGTGTTCATGTGCATGAATGCCACATCCAGTGGGGAATGCTATGCAGCTTAGGATCCTCGTAGCTGGCTCTGTGGTCCCCCCCCCCCAGGTGGCTAGCCCATAGATGGGCACCTTAGCTGAGGTACCTGCCTTGCCTACTCATGGACTGAGAGCGTATCGCCCTTGGGCCATGGGAAAATTTGTCTTTCTACCCTCTATAAGGGGAGAATCGAGAATAATAAACAAAAATTGAAGATAGTTAAATTTTTCTGGGAAAGAAATGAAAAAATTTCAAGAAATCTTCTCACGTCGAATTTCAAGGATAGGATTCATTCCGCTGTTTTTAGAGAGGTTAAAAAACACTATATTCGGGTCATTTACAGCCCATTATGTGTGTGGGTGTTTCGAATATGAAAATAAATGCGTATTGGGCACCTCAAAACCAAGGTGCCACCTAGGAAATTGCATCATGCTGGGGCACTCTGCCCCCTAGGTCGCTTGGGCACAGCCTGGCCCCTTTTGAAACATTGATGATGGTGAGTGTTTTTGACGTATGATGAAATAAAACATTAGATGAGATGAATGACTTGTTTAGTGGTATCATGAGTTTAGGTGATAGTGAGTACTACGAAGGCATACTTGTGGATGGGTTTGATGCCTAGGAAGCATCTGGAGGAGGAGGTTCACTTGAATTCACTTGTATGAACATTGGGGGATTAAGTTGGGATTCTGGAGAGAGAGGAGTTTGGAGTTTGGAGTTTGGACATTGCATACCAATCTAAAATATAAAATTCTCCTCTTGAGTAATACCTTGAGCAGACTCTTATGGAATGGAGTAGCTTACATCTTCCCATAAAGTACCTCTTTGGAAATGTAATACCTTCTTCAACTTGTGGCCAAAGCATTTACACCCCTTTTCGAGGTAGATAATCCTAAAAATGCATTTTGACAGACTTGGTATATTTTGTTTTTATATTTCATTAAGTTTATTAGGTTTGTTTAAGTTAAAAAAACTCAATATAACGCTAATATAGTGTAATAAATATCATGGGACTCATTTTTCAATCACCATGGGGTACTTCATGTGTTTGTAATGATATGATAATGTGTAGAGGAATAACTGCATTAATAGTCGATAAAAAAAATTGTTAAAAGTTATACTTCCCTAGTATAAACTTCCACAAGCATGCACATAGAATGGACATATCTATCCACCATTTACCATTGACATACCAATACGATGCACCATTTTCATAATGGATTTTGCCAACATCCTACACATGGCCATTTCAATTTAGTGTCCCTAGTTGTATTTTTAAAGTATCCGTATCTTAACGAATGTCATCCTCTAAGATGTGCCGAAACATACCCATAACCTTTGTCAATCTAGTGTACCAGTAATTGTATCCATGCCCCATATGAACTCTAGGTGATTATATTTTGATCCAGTGTTGTAGGACTTAATGGGTAGTTCTGAGACCTCCTAGAGTTGATCCAACCTATCCAAATTTATGGTGAAACTTGGGTTTTCTTGAATCTTGGCTAAAAACTGTTTGACTTGGGTTTTGTTTGACTTTGCTTGGGCCCAACTAGGCTGAACTAGTCATCTTTTTGGAATAAAGATGAGCAATGAGCGGAAATTCAGTCGCCTTGCTGCCTAGGTGGCCTGGCTGACAAACTGCGTAGAAGGTGGGGTCTGGGCTGGCATGCCTAAGGTGGGCGCCTAGGCAGTCTGGGCGCCCACCTAGTGCCATCCCTTAAAAGAAAACAAGAAGAAAGAAATTAAAATCCACCCAAACAAAAATAAGGCCTGGTATTGCCCTTCTCTCTCTCTCTCTCTCGCTCTCTCTCAGGTCCATGCGCTCACTCTACATATGAGAAGTAGAAGAAGAGGAAGAAGAAGAAGAAGATGGACTCCAAGTGTTCAATGCGTCACCAGAAAAAAGAGAGGTTATATATGCTTTCCTACAAGAGTTCCTCCTTGGTCGAAGAGCCAAGCCTGTGCAGGAAGCAAACAAAAGTTGCGCGAAGGTTGGCCTCTTTCTCTCTCACATACACACATAAAGATATACATAGACCCATATGCTCCCTCTTTACATGTAAAAAGCAGAAAAAGTAGAAGATGACCTCCAAGTGTTCGATGCGAGGTCCCTCTCTCTCATAGACTCTCTTTCTCTCTCTCTCTCTCTCTCTCTCCATATCCTCCATGTGTTCGAGATCTCTCTATCACAAATACAGATCCAAAAGGAAAAAAAAGAAAGAAAGGAGGATGATCTTTAAGAATTTCATGCGAGACCTCATGCACACACATATATGCGCATGCACATGCACATGCACACAATAAACACATACACAAACACATTCACAAAACACACACACACAAACCAACATATGGCCCCCACCCCAACCCTCTTCCCTTTGGGCCGCCTAGGTATCTGGGTGCCCGCAGACCCTTGCGGCAGCATCCACCTTTTTGAACATTGATGATGACTGTATTTTGTTTTGTTTTCGTTATTGCAGCATTTTCCACAATAATTTCCTTATCTAATGGCAACCTTCTCTTTGCCTTCTTATTCTTCTCTCTGACACACATCAATCTTTGTCTATTTGAAAATAAGCTTTAAAAAAATAAAATTTTAGTTGGATTTTATAGTGATCTAGGATGAAGAATGGGCCATTAAAGTGAAAAGGAAATGGTCGCTATCGCTGACTACCCATTTCAAAATTTTGGTACGTCAACGTACCCCCTGTTGCATCCATGGGTCCAGGGAAGGGCATTGCGACTATTGTCTTCTTGTAGCTGCTGTTCCATACATGTGATGGAATGGCTTCACTACTTCCAATATTGCGATGATCCCAATTTTATATTTGGGTCATCACTTTTCATCTTAATAGATTGGGTCATAAGTGACAATCATGCATTGTGTTGGTTGTGCATAGGAATTTGAAGTTTTTTTTGAATTTTTGGGAATTTGTAAATTTTTTGAAATTTGGTTGAATAAACAATATGTTTTCTTTATTTTTATTTTTTTCTTGACATCCACTTCTATTTTAATTTTTTTTTATAATATGTTGTTTTTGAATTATTATTAACTCGATCGCAAGTAGGTCGATCTGACCCAGGAGTTTGATTGAGTTTGAGTCCTGTCCCTCTAACCATGCCCAAATACCTCTAGGAGGTGGTATTTCTTCCATCCTATCATGCTATTTTACTGGGGGATTTCTTGGACATGAACTTTGGTGTATGATCCACAGTTGTTTGGAGTGGGAGCGGGTGACGGAACTGGAGTGGGATCATGAGCTTTATATCAACTTACTTTGGGAGCACCTAGGATTTTGGTCTAGGTGTACTAGGTTTATATGAGAGCACTTGGGGATATATAATTTTATTTTAAAGTAATTTAAAAATTGGAAATGTATTTTCCACTTTTGGCATTACCTATACACAATGAGAAATTTGTAGCATAAAAGCCCCATAAAAAAAACAAATTGAGAAAAATGAGAATGTAGGACCATGATAAGAACCAAATTCAGGAATTGCCCGAGTCCCTATTGTAAACAGGCAACACAGGGAGATTCACTACTGTGAGAAGCTAACCACCTGACAAGTTCAGGACCATCCAGGATAGTGAAATCTCCATGGGCCGAGCCGTCTCGAGTCACTAGTTTTCAACCTAGTCAGTTCATTGGTTTTCAACCAGTAATGCAAACTATGACTTTGAAACCGGAAAACAAAAATATTCAGCATGTGGTCATTAGTTAGAAAATTATCAGAAAGCAAAAAATCAAAGGTGCTCGGTTCAAAATTCAAAAACTTTTAAAACTCCCTCTTGGATCGAGATCTTTTTAAACTAGGATCATGTCCCCATTTTCAAAGGGTTCATGATCCCCCTTTCACAAAGATCAAGATCCATTATCGTCAGGGATTGAGATATATATATGATAGTGATCGAGATCCTGTGATATGGGGAAGCAAGCTTTGCTCAGGTCCCAATTTGGAGATTCTTGTCGAGATTCCGAGGGGATCGCCCCCCCAATAGAGTTTCCCATATCTATGGTATGATCTCATGATCTTGAGAAAATTTGATCATTGCTTTTTTCACACACTGTAATATTATTTAAGCTTAGAAAGTTGGCTTTGGCATTCTGATGAGTGACAATCATTTGCAATTGCTTGGGCCTAAACATTTGAATGATATAAACTAGAAAGACCATCTCATGTTGTTTTGAAAATGAAGTTAACTTTGCTTAGATGGGCTTTGTGAATAATGGTGAGGTTGCACTATCTCCTACGATTGTACGGTCTTACATTCACACAGTGCGGTTTTTGTGGGCTCCTATTCTGAGGCAGCAATATATTTTGTAAGATTGTAGCCACGCAATTTAAAGTGCGACATCTGATGGGATGCATAGGCATGTGTGGCTTCACACTGTGTGTCATTCCATGTGTTACACGTGACTTTCCACACGTGTGCAGGCCTGTGTGCACAACCACACATGTGTTTGGCCTGGCACGTGTGTGTGATGGCATCCGCAGGTCCACTTGATCAATTTCGTGGTCCGGCGGGGCCATGTGTCCTCATGTGGGTCCACATGCCTGCACCTTGCCTGTGCAGGTGGGCCACCTGGCCTTAGGTTCACATCGCTGGAAGTGCACCTCGATGGTTCATAGCATGATGCCACGCTGGACCACAACAGGTTTCGATTTCCTACGTGACCTAGAGGTGCACTACATGCACCTCCTATCCATGCACTAGTGTGGTGTGGTTCCTTGCAGTGGGCCCTCGCGATGGACCATCGAGGGACTAGGGCATCCGCGTTGTGCTCAACGTATTTTTGGCATGCCTGTGCATCCTGCAATTGAGCCATTCACGTCTGTGCGTGCATGACGCGTTTCTGAATCCAGCTAGACACTTATAGGGGGGCCTACTAGTGTCCAAAAATCAAGAAAAAACACAAAAATGAATGGAAGAAGATATATGAAAAATGTTTTTTGTTTTTTGCTCATTAAACTGCACTGGTTATCAGATCCGAAGGTGGAATTCTACTGTAACGACTTTGAAACTAATGTTGTAAATTGGGATGAACCTAGAAAGGCCATGGAAACACAAAAATAAGAGGATTGGATAAAATCTACATTCCTTTTCGGATCCTCCTGTGCGGCTAATATATTTTTTTTTGGTTTTCCTCCTCGAACGCATCATCTTATTTAAGAGGTTGATGATGCAACCTTAGGCCCACACTCAATTACTAGAACTGAGAGAACTGTATGCACAACCCAAATCACTGAGCCTGATTGATGGAGCTGGCTTAGATTGATCTCACCATTTTTTATTTTTAGAGGTTTATGTGGGACTAGCTTTTTCTAGAGGGAGAATGTACTCTTATGGGAGAAAAGAGAAAATACCCAAGGAGTGAGGAGAGAGAAAGTTACATTTTCAATTGGATTAATCTTTTCCCATCTCTCTCACATCCCCTTTTATAGAAGTGGGTCCCCCTTTTATAGAAGTGGGTCCCCCTTTTAAGGGATTAACAACTTCCCATTATCTTTTTGGATTTCATAATCTTATCAAGAAAATCCTTCTTGTTCTCTCTCCTTATCTCATAAAGCAAAAAGTCTTATGATATAAAAACTACGCCCTTACGGACAAGGGGCGGACCTCACCCAAAAACTAATATTAGTATTAGAGCCGTTATGGTGGAAACTCTCCTTCCGATTTGATAATCGGTGCAGTTTAATGTGTGAACACAAAACTATTTTTTAAGGATATTTTTTGCGTACTATTTTTGTGTTTATTTTTGGATATTTGGATACTGTTAGGCCCTTGTAGGTGTCTGGTTTGATTCGGGGTTGCGCCATGCACCTACAGGTGCAAACGACTTGATTGCATGCCAAAGATGTGTTGGACATCCTAGTCCCGCGGTGGTCACCGCGAGGGACCATGCTGCAGTAGTGTGTGGACAAGCAGTGCATGTGGGCGCTATGTTCTTCCAGGTCACGTGGGAAGTGTGAACCTACTATGGTCCTGTGTGGTGGTCATGTGACTTACCATCGAGGTGCACGTCCATCGATGTGAATACATGGGACAGGTGACACACCTGTGCATGCAAGGAGTAGGCATGTGGGCCCACGTGAGGTCACATGGTCGTGGTGGACCATGGCATTGATCAAGTGGACCTGCAAGTGTACACCCAGCTGTGTGGACCCTTAGCTCGGCACACTTGTCCAAAAGTGGGGGGGGGGGGCTCACTCACACACACTTGCTAGGCTAGACATGTGCGGTTGCGCATAGAGGTTTGTTTGAAAAGGCATGTCCTATCACACATGTGGAATGGCATAAATGCGAAGCCACACGTGCCTATGCACCCCATCTGATGCCGCACTTTAAATTGTGCGGCCGCAGTCTTACAAAATATTGTGTAGCCTTAGAACGTGAGCCCACAGAAGCTGCACTGTGAAAGTGCATCTGTGGCCTTACATTTTAAGTGAGGCTGCAACCGCGCCATTAAACTGTGCAACCTCTAACTTGTCTTTTGAGGCCGCACTGTTGTAGGTGAGCTTGGAACCGTACAATATGATTGTGCAACCTCTCTCCCTGTCCTATGAAACCGCATTGTTGAGGTGATGTTGTGGTTGCACCTGTTTTCGTGCGACCTTGGTTCTGTGTTGCCTTGCTTGTGGCTGACTGCAGCCTCAAATCTTGCGTGGGGCATGACTTTGCATCCGGATGTCAGATTTTGGCGAGCCTTATATGGTTTTGGGCTAGCTCGCGAAGAGGAACGCAACGAGCAGGTTCTTATCTATTGATTTTATTGCTAACCCTGTTTTGGCCCTATTTTTATTTTATACACATTTTTGGCTATGCTGTGGGTGCGATCGATGTCGATAAGGCCTTGGTAATCTGATTGCATCCTTCTGGATATTGACTGCAATTAGTTTGCCCCGTTTTCATGTCAGATTTTGCATCTGGGATGCAAACACTAACTTGATGACGTGAGATCCGATCCTGATTACTAGCCTTAGCCCCATTATGGCTGCATGAAATTTTCATTTTGGGTTACTCCGGAAGTATGACTCGTTAATTCTTGATGATGTGAGCAAGTGCTAAAATCAATGGTACATGTGTGTGAATACCTGAGTGGGTATGAACAAACCCTTATCCGTAATATTTATTGTGTTTTTCCTCCTTTTATGACCTCTTAGAATGTGATAACCGACCTCCTTAGAGCGGAAAAACTGTATTTCAATAATCATGCCATGTTGTACGGGAAGATCCACTACATACTTGATGAGCAAGGGGTAATCGAACATTTGACCACAGTATGAACCGTCTGAAGAAGGCACGAGTGCACAGGTGTGTTGTGATATGGAAGCTTATCAGAATTGGCTCAAGAGAGATCATTGTGCATGCTTTACCTTATTAAGTAGTATGCACAATGATCTAATTGGGCAGTTTGGCAGCTATTTGACCAGGGAAATGTGGAATTCTTTACAACTTTAGTTCAATGGTAACTCAGCTACTAGGAAGCGCGCTCTCACGTTGGCATTTGAGACGTACAAAATGCTGCCAAAGTCTCCTTGACGGAGCATAAAAATGTCATAGGTGATTCGTGACTTGGGCATCGTTGGTAATTCTATGAGTGATGAGAAACAAATTTTTGTTGTGCTTTGTTCACTCCCTTCTTTTAGGGAGCAAATGAAGATAATGATGACGCCTGATGAGAATTTTAAGATATTTGCGCATTTATCTCACTATCTAGTGTTTGAGATAGAACGCCGCTCTGCTAATGATAGTGGCGTTGCCCTGCTCACTAGATAAGGCAAGCCCAAGGGTGGTAACAATCCAAGGGCAGGCCTAAAGGGAAAGCTCCTCCCAAGAAAGAGGAAGTGAAAGCTGAGGATACTAAGCGTAAGCGCAATTATGACAAGAGTGCTCCATGGTACAAATTAGCCTTGACTTGCTTCAACTGCGGGAAGACCGACCACTTCGCTTGTGAGTGCACTGAGCCGAAGAACGTGCAAACCGATCTTTACATTATTTTTGCTATTTTGTGTACAAAAGTGGTAGTTACTCATCCATTATCTAATGGTTGGATTGTGGATTTGGGAGCAATGAAACACAAAGTGATGGATGAAGGCAGGTTCGTAGCGCTTCACTGAGTTCTAGTGGGAGACGTGAAGATATTCATAGGAAATGATGTTGTCAAAGATGTGGTGGGCATGGGGACCTATTGTTTCCCTCCCTAACATGACCCTCTTTGGATGGTGGTGGGGTTGCAGGCCTGATGCTGCGCGTTGCGTCCTTGGTGCAATATGGCATGCCTTCGGCAGTGGATGATGGTGTGTCTCGCCACCAGACAGGATTCGCGTCTGGATGATGGTGGTGGGATGTCCCGACGCTGCGCCGTCGCATCATACACGTGATATGGCCCAACCATGGCTGTCAGATGAAGTTCTGCTTCCCTCCCTGACATGACCCTCTCTGGATGATGGAGCTTCACTGAGTTCTAGTGGGAGGCATGAAGATATTCATAGGAAATGATGCTGCTGAAGATGTGGCGGGCATGGGGACCTATTGTTTGGACTTTCAATTTGGTTGGACCATGTTTCTCCATGATGTGCTCTATGCTCTTGGATGAGGAGGAGCCTAGTCTCAATACCTAAGCTCTCTTCAGAAGGACGCTTGATTTTATTTTTTTTTAGATAATAGGGTTCAAATTAAACTGTATAATGGTTGTGTTTTTTGTGGTTTCCTCCATGGTGGGTTGTTTACTTTGGATTTAGAGATTCATCTATTCCTTTTGATAATACATGCCTTACCTCTTTTTCTTATTCCACTATTCATGGTGATGATTCTATGTTATGGCATGCGAGGTTGGGGCGCATTAGTAAATATAGGATGACCAGACTGATTAAAGGACTTTTGGGGTCGTTAACCAAAGTAGACCTACCCACGTGTGAACCTTGTCTAATGGGAAAATCAACTAGGAAACCATCCCCTAAAGCTCAAAGAACAAAAGGACTCTTAGAAATGATTCACTCCAATATATGTGGTCCCTTTAATGTGAAGTCCTGCAACAAATCCTAGTACTTCATCAGTTTTGTTGATGATTCTCACACTATGGTTATTTGTACTTAATCTCACATAAATCTCATGCAATTGATTGCTTCCAGAGATTTAAGCTAGAGGTTGAGATCCAATCAGGGAAGAGGATTAAGGTTCTTAGAATTGAGAGGGGGTGCGAGTATAATTCTGAGTTGTTCAGAAAGTTCTGTGAAGAACATGGGATTCATAGATAGGAAACGATGTCATATACTCCGTAGCAAAATGGTGTTGTAGAGCCAAATGGACATGGTAAGGTCCATGATGTCACGTGCGAATCTCCTAGTTACTTTTTGGGGAGATGCTTTGTTGATTGCTATGTACATCTTGAGTAGGGTGCCTTCAAAATCAGTACCCAACACCCCTTATGAGTTGTGGACTGGTAGAAAGCCTGACCTATCACACTTGCGCCCATGAGCGTTGGCTGGGTTCGTGTATATACCAACTGAGTTGACCAGTAGACTAGATAAGAGGTCCACTGTGTGTACTTTTATTAGATATCCTGAAAACTCGAAGGGGTATGTTCTGTGTTATGATTCTGATGAGGGTAGCTTACAACATGTGGAATCCCGCGATGTGAACTTCATTGAGACCAATGTTCAAAAATGCGGATTCGGGCGCCTACGCGTTTTGGGTGCCTGGCCGCCTAGGCACACCTGCCCAGGAACGGGCTACCCGCACAATCCTCAAAAAATTGAAACCCCCCTCCCCCCCTTCTCCCCCGGGGATATGAGTTTTAACTGAATATATAAGATTAAAATGTTGCTATGTTATTTTTACAATAAGACTTTACTCATTAAGATATCATATAATTAAGAATTTAAGAATTAAGATATATGTATGAAATCATTAAGATGTTAGTTTCAATACAGTATGGCTTAATATTACTTTACAATAAGACTTAAATGAATATATAAGATCTTTGTTTCACTTCAAGAATTAAGACTTAAATTCATTAAAATATCACATAAATACATAATCAATTATTTATCAAATAAAGAAAACAAAAAATAATAGAATAACGAAACATGACACATTGTACAAAAAAAAGAATTAAGTATTCATAAAAGAATACAATATATGCTCAATTTCATCGTCCAAGTGAGAAAAATATCAATTAATCACAAAAAAATCAATCTTTTACCTGCAAACATGTAAATATATCATAAGAGAAAAGAAAAAAGTAAAAGAAAATACGCATGATTCACAACATAATATATTGTAGCAAAATAAAATCAAAACCCTCTTCCAAATATGATAATACTTTTAAAATATCAAAATAAAATCGATGTCGGTGCAAACCTCATCTATTGGGTCGCCCAAAGTTTTGAAAATCAACTACTAGAAGCTCCAATTCCAACCACGAGCTATTGCCTTTGTTTTGGAAAGAAATCGAAAATATAAAAAATTGTCAATCTTTCGTTAAATCACAAAATAGTGGTTTTGGGGGAGTTTTCTCACCCTAAAGGCAACATTTTTTGTTTTGGGGGTTTAAAATACCCCCCAAAACCCTTTTCCCCCTAAAAAATTAAGTTTTTTGACCCAGACAGTAGCGCCTAGGCGGTCGCCTATAGACAGGCCGCATAATGACTCTGCCCAGACAACGCCTAGGCATTTTTTGAATTTTTTGGCCAAGGCAGCCACCTGAGTGCTCAGGCTGTTGAATTTTCTAACAGTGATTGAGACGAGTTCCCAAGTAAGAAAAGGTCTGGGTTGACATTGGACCTATATGAGATGGCTGATACTCATATAAAGAGTGGTGAGGAAATTCCTCCACTAATAGACGACTGTGGGACTATTCCCATGGTCATTGAGGACAATGGGAGTGAACCATCATTCATTCGTGAACCTTGTAGGAGTTCACGTGGTAGAGTTCCTCGGAGACATTTTGAGAACAAAGGGGAATGTTTAACCTGCATCTCCATTGATGAGGGTGAACCCGGTTCATACCAGGAAGCAATGAGATCTAATGCAGTCAAGTGGGTCGCCGCAATGGGTGAAGAGATTAGCTCCATGAAGAACTGTTTCGGGTCTCATCGATCAAAACTGTCATCTGCAAACAACATGCCCCACAGTACCTCCTCTTGTAGGTGCTTAGTTAAGTCGTCCATAACTAGGACAAAGAGGCACGGGCTCAATGCTGACCCTTGATGTAGACCTATTGTTACTGAAAACTCACTCGTCTCTCCTCTAGTTGTTCGTACAGTGGTTTTCGCTCAGCCGTACATATCTCCCACCAAGTGGATGTAGTGTCTAGAGAGTCCTTTCTCTTCTAATACCCGCTAAATCAAATCTCGAGGTACTCTATCATATGCTTTCTCTAGATCAATAAAGACCATGTGGAGAGCTTTCCCCTTCGCCCTTAATTTGTCAATCAGCTGCCAAGTAGAAAAATAACCTCAGTTGTTGACCTTCTGGGCATAACCAAATTGGTTTTCTGATACACTTGTTTCATGCTTTAGTCGTTGCTCAGTCATTCTCTCCCAGAGCTTCATAGTATGGTTCATAAGCTTGATTCCTCGATAGTTCACACAATTCTGTGTCTCCTTTGTTCTTATAAATAGGTACCACAATACTTTTCCTCCATTCATTTGACATTTTCTTTATTCTCAATACCTTGTCGCACAACTTCGTCAGCCAGTCAATGCCAGTCTCCCCCATGCACTTCCAAACCTCAATCGGTATACCATATGATCCTAAAACCTTTCCTACCCTCATCCTTTTTCAAAGCTTCTTTCACTTCTGACATCCTAATCCTACGAATGTGTCTATGACCTCTGCCCTCATTTGAATCGACAGTTCCTTCTACTGCTATGTTCCCATTGTGTTCGTCATTTAATAGTTTTTGAAAAAAACTTTCCACCTTTCATTGACCTCGTCATCTTTCACCAAGACCTTTTGATCCTCATTCTTAATGCATTTAATATGGTTTAGATCTCTACGCTTTCTATCTCTTATTTTGCTAATTTGAAGATATCTTTTTCACCTTCTCTTGTTCCCAGTTTATTGTATAGATTATCATATGCCTTAAGTTTAGGTATACTTACTATTGTTTTAACGTTTTTCTCAGCATTTTTATACTCTTCTAAGTTTTGATCGTTTCTATTCCACTGCCAAGTTTTAGTAGATGATCGTTTTTTGCTAATGGCCTTTGAACTTCATCGCTCCACTACCAAGTTTCCTTATCAGAGTTTCTTTTCCCTTTAGATTCTCCTAAAACTTTTAGAGGATCATGTAATTAGTCTAATCCTTTGTCCCAAGACTGAGGCTGAAAAAGAGAAGATATCTGGTGTACGGGACTAGATATCTCTTAGGCGATAGGACTTGTTATGCCCTACCAGAGCATGAGAGTGTATAGGAACCAATTCTCTTGACTTAGATTGCAATGTAGACAAAATACAAGACAATACACCTTTAAATTTTCCAATACAATTGAAACTACAACCTGCAGAATCAAATTATAGCAAGTTCACTATAACTACAGTGAGTTATTGATTTCAAAATACACTCAAATGAGAGGATACAACTCAATTAGGGTCCCATGCATATGAATAAAACTAGTTTGCATATGAATAAAACTAGTTAGAAAAAGAGAACATTAAACTACACCTGTATAGTGTGCATTTGAAAATTTTGCACCACACAAATTTACAAATGAAAATTCAAAGGATCATGACCATGGGAAGACAATCAGAGTGCTCGGGTGCGCTGTTTACGGCTTTGGGTCTTAGCTATGTGCCAATGGGTGACATGCGATGGCATACCTCAAAAATCGGGCCAATTCACTATCTAACAAGTGGGAAGCCAAGCATCTATTGATACACACGTAAAACATTAAAGAATTTGCAGAGATCTAAAGATCGAATCAAGTAGGAAAATTGTGGGAGAAACCGGGCTCTTAAAACATAAAACCAGTTCAATTGAGTTCACAATTCGGTCCACACAATTTCAGCATAGTCTCCTCTTATAAAAACCACAATTCAAGGGATCAAAAAGAAGATCTAAGTGACTGATATGATCATAAAAATCTCAGAGTAATATCAGTAAAAAATGCTCCAAAAATCAAAGGGGAAATCTCAAGGAAACTAGATTGAAATATGCATGGATGATGCCTTCAACTATATGGATCAAAGATGATTCAAGGGATCAAGGATCTAATCATCAAGGATGAAGAAATGTTGCGGTAATTGAGAACTTATAGCAAGGAGGAACAACGAGCATTAATGAAAATGGAAGAGATCTTACTCAATTGTTGAAGGCTTGAAATCTAGATATCCATGACTTGAATTTGATTTTTGGATCACCATTAATGGAGTAGTTTAGGAGCGTCAATGGAGCTCTCTCTCACCTTAACTTGAATGTTGCTTTTTAGCGAGAGAAAAGAAGAAGAGACTTGGCTTGGGGGTGCCACACAATGAGAGAGGAGAGGCGTACCACTTTTAGAGAGAGAGTGAAATGAACTCATGTGTGAAATGAAGACTCAAAGGGGTATTTATAAGCTTATAACCCTTAAGTGTGGACATGCTTCTAAATTGATGAATCTTAGCCCTCCATGTCATCTTCCAATGGTATAAAGAGAGGCTTGATCTTAGCCCACCATCCAGCATCACGCCTTCAAGATGTGTGGTATGGATTTAAGCACCTTTATCCTCCTTTAATACACTCCAATTTCCCTCGTTATTAAAATACCCATGCTCTTTACATTTAATAAAATCAAAACCAAGATGGAGGGTATACCTTTATGGTAATCTGACAAATGTTCAGGTAAAAAGAAAATCTCAAAAGTATCCTTCATTTATAAGAGCATGTGGGGCTAATGAAATTATGCCACCTAAGCTAGGTGGTTAATTTCACATTTAACCTTGTGTACAAATCCCTTGCTTTAAGCTTTAAACATGTGTTAAAATGATTGTTCCAAAATCTCAATGTTTCACAAAATACCATAAAACAATGCCCTTAACTTAAAACAACAAATAGTAAGACATGGGGGTCCCATGAGGGGGTTGACGTCACCCCTACGTCATCCTCCACGTGGGGTGACATGGGACCCCCGAAGCCGCCACCATGTGGATGCTCACTAGTCATTGGGTGTCGAAAAATATCCATTTTTTTTTTCAAAAATCCATAAAAATCTTTTTAACGATTTTGCATCAAAATAAATCATTTTGGCATTATTTAAAAACATTTACAAAGGAAATTAAGATCCTTGGAGTTGAATTACAAATTAGAGCATTCCACTCGGATAGACTCGGAATCCAAATCCACCTTCTCAATATGGCCTAACAGATTCCTGACCCACAGTGTATAATCAGGGGCTCATGATCTCAGCCTATCAAAGTCAAACCAATGTGTGACTTGAATCCCCATGTATAAGTGGATTTCAGGTGCAACCCACAGAGGACTTGCACACACATGGTGTGGGGGTTCTTCTCTTGGCACGTTCATACCTCTAACCAGTGGATCCCTAGAAGAGCGGCTTCCCATGCATTGCAACTATATATGCACATGCTACAAGAATGTTCTAATAGTAAGGGATTTAAGCCAATGTCTTCTATTGGCCCTAACCTTCTCGTGCATGACTATTTGTCACCGACTCATATTACATAAATGCATAAGTCACATCGCCCTAGCCCCATGCAGTCTTGAGGTACAAGCATAACAACCGACCCTGACTAAGATGTAACCTGAACCCTCGTCGGTGTTCCGTAACTCTTGGTCCCAGTGTGCAAAGATCCTTTGCGCTTTTACTCCCACTGAAGCTGAGAGCCATTAAAATGCCGTAAAGGCCTTGAAAGGACATAATTCCAACAGAGCAATCCAAGTCCGGAGCATTGGCATGCCGTGAAGAGGATATTCTGATATCTCCGGGGAACTGTGGATTACTAGCTGGTCTTTCAAGGAAGTGATCTTAGATTGCGAGGATTTAGTGATGCTGATTGGGCGGGTTACTTGGATGAATGCAAGTCAACGTCAGGATATGTCATTACTTTGAGAGGACGAGCAATTTCCTGGTGTAGCAAGAAGCAAAGTGCATGGCACTATCGACTTTGTTGAGGGGTGGATAGCCTTGATCCCTTGCCCAATGACAAATTTTAGGTTGCATTCTGCTTCTGTTCGCACCCAACCATTTCTTTCCCCCCAACGTCCTTATGCTTGTCCCTCTAATCCTCACCCTACTCCCTTGTTAATCATAACGTTGCTGCCCTCCGACAATTGTGCATCTCAATGCTCCTACTGCCTTTGTTTCCAAACCTACGATCCAAAATCAACCCATATTCCTCTGGTCCCTCTTTTCCACAAATATTCTAAGGTGATTAAACGCCTATTATCCCCTATCATCCTCCCCCTTCCCCAAACTCCCCTCTCCAACCACATTCAATGCCATGACAACTCCCTCACACCCACACCTGCTACCATAATTCCAACTTCGGCTTTGCATCAACCTCCTATCCTTCTGCCCCACTATACCATGCATACAGAACCTCTCGAGCCTCAAACCCTCTCCCATCAACTCAACCAACCTTGCTAGATGATGTTGAGAAAGGCATGAACCTCCACTCTTGTAGAATTGTGAATCCAAGTTACCCAAAAATCAGTTAAAAGTCTCAGAACTGATAGCTTTTTTCCTTTGGGATAACTTAATTTATGAGTTTTGTCACCGCAAACTCTGTATATTCTTCTTTAAACAGTTTCAGAAGTATGGACTCAATAATGATGTTCGTTCAAATGACTTAGGCTGACACAGTTTTGCAAATTTGTGACAGTTATGGTACAATGCAACATGCAAGGTCATTCAAGATTCATGAGCCATGGAGTGGGGCATTTGGTGAAGCTTGCGAGAGTTCTATCCACCTCCTGATAGTCATTGGGAGTTATAGGTTTTGTTGTCATTTTTGTTGGATCTTTTTAGAAAGATATTTATAATTTAAAGTGCAACATGTTTAGCTGTTAGAATTGCTACTGAATTCTGTTTCCAGGTCAAATATTAACAGTTCTTTAGAAACTCCCATCTTATTAATGGATGCGAACGTTGAAATATCCAATCTGCAATTGGTTGTGAATTTGTATTCTTGTTGGTTTATAAGAACTCAGTACTTTGTTCAAATAATAAATTTAAATTGCATTATGTGATCCTTGTTCATAACTATCCTAGTACTTTTTAGCATTACGTGATCCCTGTTTGTATCTATCCAAGTAATTTTTTACCTAATGCATGTGTGCTGAGTTGCTTAATGGGTGCAGATAATCTAGATGGCTGCATTGATGTTCCTGTGAAGCGTGGGGATAGTGCTCTTCATATGACATGCTTTGATGGTTTCTTGCCCTGTGTCCAGGTTGGTTACAGTTGAATGTTTCAACATTTTCTTTGTCTTTTATAGTTTATTCAATCAGTATACTGAAAAGAGCCCTACACTTGCTTGGCCCTCAGCTGTTGTTGGAGAGAGGAGCAAACTTGGAGACCAGGGATTTAAATGGGGCGAATCCTCTTCATAATGCTTGTGGAGGAGGCATAACCCCGACTCTCTCAAATTACATTTCTCATTCTTCCCAACATCCACTTAGTTCCTGGCCTGCTTGATATCTTGTAGGATCCGCTGAAGTTGTTGCATTTTTGATAAATACTGCTCCATACTTGGAGGTTTTCAAGAGGATACTAAACACTACTGATAGAGATGGTGACACTGTGAGAGAATGCCAAAACTATCACGTGTTATTTTGTTTGTGGATAGCTTACCCTTGTGTTGATTGATTATGTGTGATGATCGGTCCATCCAGCCTCTTCACTATGCGGTTTCTGGAGGGTACTTGGAAGTGGTGCAGCTCTTAGTTAGAGAAGGGGCTTCTCTCACTGCTGCAAATGTTAGGGGAAAGGTTTGAGTGGGGTCACTTTCAATCTTAGAAATCCTCTCTCTCTCTCCGCTCTGTCTCTCTCTCACCTTCTTGGTCCTCATTGCTAACTACCTATTGCAGGTTCCTGCAGTGCTTGCGCAGCCAGAGTCTGAAGTCAGACGCTTCTTGGATGAAGCTGCTGCTGCTGTTACTAGTGCTTCAAATTCTCACTAGGCTTTCTTGGGTTCTTGGTTTTTCCAGAGGGAGATCCATCAAATAGTTATTATCATTCATCGGGTCTCATGTATTCACATGTCCCCAAATAGTTTTTGACAGCCATTTAGGTTGTTTGGCACATTGGCCATTTCTTAAGAGTGAATTTTATTAGATGGTTTGGCATGTTGGCCATATCAATTACTGGAAATGTTTTCTATGACCCCCAGCTACTTGAGGAAATGGAAAGTGCCTTCATTAAGTGCATGATACGTGCAGGGGTAAAGAAGTTCCATACTTACTGTGATTTTGGATGGAGATTCCTAAAGTAGAGATTGTGCACCATTGCATGATTGTAATCATGGGCTCATGATATTGAGGTGAGAACAGGTCTTAATGTCCAGGTGCAATTCAATGATGGTTTTTCTACTTTTATAAATTGTCTATTAATGTGGTTTCCTCTCTCTCTCTCTAAAATCTATGGTAGTATTTTCTTACACTAAAGGAGTTGGTGTGGTTTTGCTCGTCTTGGAAGGATGAATGATATGATGTTTGAGCAGCTGGCGGACACCGTGTGTGACCGCCTGCCGTACGCTCTTTTTCCTTTCTGTTTTGATTGTTAGATAAAACGACTTCATAATTCGTATGATTGAGTGCAGGAGAGGCCTAATGTTTGTCAAAATTGGGCCTTGCATGCTTTTTTCGAGTTACAGTTCCATTTTCGTAAGGCGGTATATGGGTGACAGAGGTCCATAAATGCAATTTCAATCCCGATGGTATATGTACAAGATTATTGTATCCTGCAGTGATTTCAGTTGAATTGTAATATAATGCAATAATTTTCAAAAGCCATATTAGGACAATTTATTTGTTCCAAATTTTAAAATATACACTCTTTTAATTCTAATGAACAAAAAAAAAAAAAATTTCAAAACACAATTGAGAAAGTTTTTTTTAGCCCAATTAACATAGACCGTTCATTTCGATAAGATATTTAAATCTAGGCTTCAGAAGTATTTTTTCTTTTCTAATTTTTTTAGATGGTTTTATTATTATTCTTGGATGAATAATATTAAAACATAAAAAAAGTGGAAATATCTCTTTATTTTTTACTTTTGTATCTCTTGAGACCCAAAAATTGAAAATATTATTTGGATGTCAAAAGTCTTCATGTTTTCTATCTTATAAACCTCTCGACCTCTCTGACTATAAAATTTTTATTCAAACAAAATCTTAAATGACACCTTCAACATGTTTTCCTCTTAACGTTTTTCCCAAAGGGTTTTCCAACCTCTCCCTCTACCCACACTCTCTTTCTCTCTTTACCCCAACTCCCTTTCTCTCTACGCCGCCTCTCTCTCACTGCCCAAACTTCTCTCACTAGAAATGACAAGAGGCGATGATGGGTTCCGGGAAATGCCCCGTGGAAGTATAATATCTTTTGCCCACACCGCCGATTTCCGCAATATCCACGCTTTTGAAATTTAAGCATGAAAATTGCTGATAAGTTATTTTGAAAATTTATAAATTACTTTCAAATGTTCATCTTAAAACAGAGAGCATATTTTTATGGAAAAAGTTTATATAAGGTTGCAATTTTAGAATGTAGAATTAAAGATGCACCTAAAAAATCCATTGAAAAAGATTGTTTTAATGTTAAAAATATCCTCTAATTGATCATCTCGACATCGAGATGCACAAATCTGAAAAGGAAAAAGATTTAGAGTCACAGAAATAGTGCATCTTGCAATACATTATCTAGACCATCAATTTTTAAGATTTTCATATGTTTATAGATCTACTTGATTTTAACCATTTTTGGAGTTTAAAATTTATAATTAGATATGAAAATATATTTTGACATAATCTTAATAATTTTTTACACCAAACTTATATGTTATGATAAAATTTGAAGGTGGGCCTTAATTGGGTTGTTTAAGTTGCAACCTTATATAAACCACACCCTATGTTTATATTTTGCATACTACTTTTTGTATAGGGAGGTATCATTTTTAGCCATTAGATGTGAAACTAGACATATTAAAATGTATCACTATATTCAAGAAGCATATTTTAGATTTTGTACCTAGTCATCAATACATCTCTAATAATCCAATGTTGTAACTCATCATCATTGTCAAATCCATTTTCAACTAATTGGAATAGACTACACGAATCTTGGTCTGTCATTCTACTCTATTAAAGGTCATACTCTCGGTAAGGCCATAATCCAATATCAAATAGTTTTTGGGTAAGTCAATGGGGAAGAAGGCCCCCTACCTAATATTTCATTATTAGAAAACGGATAACATGTTATTGTACAACCCTAAAATAGGGCTGTTGCACCAAATCATGTAATAAAAGAAGAGAGAGAAAGTCAGGCAGACGAATACGCCAAATTGAGACTCCTGTATAAACCAATCATCTCTTAGCGAGGGCATCAACTATCATATTCACCTTGCAAAAAACATGAGCAATAGACCACCTGTGCGGCAATAACCTTGCACGACAATTGTTAACTATCATTTGTAATCTCCAAGTGACACGGCGTTGATTTTTAATGGCATCTACTAGTAGAGATGAGTCACTCTCTATCTGTATAGGGAAGCAGCCCTTTCGAATAGCTAAAGAATGCCTTCTTCTAGAGTCTGGAATTCTGTAAAATTATTGGATGCAAAACCAAAGTGTTTAGTAAACGCCGCCGCAAATCTACCATTGCAGCCAAACTAGGGTAGTGAAAGGTTGCATCATCAATATTCAGCTTATAACAACGAGCTTCTAGAAGTGACCATGCGACTAGGATCATACATTTTGGCTTCAACTGGCGCCACTTAAACTGTAGATTGCCAATAATCACCTTTTTTGATAGATGAAAGGCCCATTCCTTAACTTCTGCAATAGCCTTTACATGTGAAGTATTCCGAATGACAACCTGCTCGCTTCTTGATGTATTAGTTTGAAAGATTCTTCTGTTTTGCTCCTCCCATAGAAACCAGATTGTCGTGAAGTAGATAGCCATCAAGATGGTAAGAAACCCCTTTGCTTTGAATATGAAGGCTAGCCAACTACGAAGAGTATCCTGGCCTGAAGTTCCAAGCACAAACCTTCTGCCACACCGCCAATCTAAAGACCGCCAAACGCCCTGCAAGAAAGTGTAATGAAATAGGAGATGACATAGGGTTTCCCCATTGTTCCTACAAAAAGGACAGATAATAGCGATATGAATACCCTGCTGCTGAAATATAGATATAGTCGGTAGTCGATTGTGCATAGCTAGCCAGGAGAGGCTGACCAAAGAGTACAAAATACAGGCTGAGGTGAGTTTTTATAACCAATAAAGTTCCTTACTTCTTTGATTGAAAATGTTCCACTAGAAGAATGAATCCATAACAATGAAACCTTCTTATGCTACAATGGAAGGATACGAGGTACCACATCTCTTCATATGTTGTTTAACAAAGTGGAGGAAGATGGACCCACAATTGGGGGTTACCATCAATAAAATTAGAAACCTTTTGCCCTCTAAGTTCCTCCAAATCCATATGTCTATTATCATCCAAAGAATCTCGAATCTACTGTATTGACAGCCATGGGTCTAGCAAGAAATCCACCATCTGCCCATTACCAATGCACTACTGAACATTGTCCCTGAGTTGAGATAATCCAAAATGAATGCCCTTCCATGCATGAGAACAACCTCTCTTAGCTACAGACTCCCAAAATAGAACACATTTTGAAATATATGTGCTTGAAAAAATGAGCAACTGAAGAAGATGGATTTGCTAAAATCTTCCATGCAAGCTTCATCATATTTGCTGTATTAAAGTTCGTCAAATCTCTCACCCCCAGCCCACCCTCCTCCTGAGGAAGGCATACTGTCCTCCATTTAGCAAGATGAACACCCCTATTTTCTGCAACCCTTACCCATAGAAAATTATGCTGAAGCCTCTTTATCGTATTACAAGTTTTCCTTGGCAGCAGAAACAACAATATCCAGAAAATAGCAAAAGTGGTAAGAACTGACTTAACCAATTGAAGACGTCCTGCATAAGATAAGCATAGGGCTTGCCATGTACCTATCTTACCGATCATCTTTCCAACCAAGCTCTGACAGTAACTGTGTTCTAGATGTCCATGAAACAGTGGTAACCCCAGATATCGCACTGGCAAGTAGCTTTCAATGAACCCCAACTCTCTCAACATCCGTGCTCGATTACCTTGTTGTACCCCAAATAAGAAAACCTTGCTTGTCACAGAATTTAACATTTGACCAGTAGTGTTTTTAAAAGTAGTGATAACCGCCTTCATAGCAGTGGTAGATGCATAAGAAGCCCCACAGAATATAACGGCATCATCAGCATAGAACAAGTGAGACACCCCATAGTCGCACCCAGAGGAGGAGGCTCTGAGTATCAATCCTTGCAACATAGCTTGGTCTATTTTGCTACAAAAGAAGTCCATGACAAGTAGAAATAAGTAAAGAGATAGAGGGTCTCCTTGCCTCAAACCTCTTTTTCCCTTAAAGAAACCTTTAGGCGAACCATTTCTCAAAACAGAAAAAGAAGTAGTCAAAATGCATAAATTAATCCATGAGATAAAGAAGTCTGGGAAACCCAAAGTATGTAACCTACTCAGAATAAACTTTCAGGAGACCCTGTCATATGCACTGCTTAGATCAATCTGCAGGCACATTTTTTGTCATGCTGAATTCTTATGACAAAGAGACATGATTTCATTTGCCATTAGAATATTGTCCGAAATTAACCTACCTTTTAGGAAAGCAGCTTGCCTAGGATCAATATTTTTTCAAGAACAACTCTCAAGCAGTTTGAGATTATTTTGCTGATAATTTTATGTAGAACATTACACAAACCAAAAGGCTTAAAATCTTTCATAACAGAAAGGGCATCCACTTTTGGAATTAGACATATGAAAGTGGAATAAATTTGTTTTAGGAGCTTACTTTGTTGAAGAATCCTTGAGGACCTTATAAAGATCTTTATTGATGATTTCCCAAGTGAATTTATAAAATTGTATTGAAAAGCCATCTGGCCCTGGAGCACTCTCAGTTCGCATGTTCCAGATAGTAGCCTTAATCTCCTCTATAGTGACCGCTTCAGCCAATTTTGCCGACTGAGCTACAATTATTGAGCATCGTGGTAGAAATTTATCTGCCAAAAGCGGGTCAATATCACTTTCTTGAGCAAGCAAAATCTCAAATAAGCTGATCATAGGCCTATCTATGTCTGCCTCAGAAGCTAACAAGTTCCCATTCTGATATTTGAGATATATGATCATGTCATTTCTTCTTCGAATCACAGTGGATAGATGAAAGACCTTAGTAAGAGAATCCATGTCCTTAAGCCAATTCTATCTAGACTTTCGTCTCCCTAATCTTTCTTCGTTCATGCTCTTCTAACATTAGTGCC